GCTAGCTAGCTGTTGGCTAGCCAGCTGTTGGCTAGCCAGGTAGGTAGCTAGCTAGCTGGCTAGCTGTTGGCTCGCCAGCTGGCTAGCTTGCAGCTGGCTAGCTAGCTAGCTAGCTGCGTAGCAGCTAGCCAGCAGCTAGCCAGCCAACAGCTAGCCAGCAGTTAGCCAGCAGCTAGCCAGCAGCCAGCTAGAAGCTAGCTAGGGGCTAGCTACTAGCTAGCCACCAGCTAGCCACAAGCTAACGGCTAGCTAGCCACAGCGAGCCATGTCTCCAGCTAGCTAGCTAGCTAGCTAGCTGCTGCTGCTGCTGCTGCTGCTGCTCAGAGTGCACAGTTTGACTTTGCTGGGCCTTTTCTGTTTGGCTTCTGCTGCTCCGGAGGCGCAGCTGAGAGCTGCTGCTGCTGCTGTGGGGCTGCAGCGGATTTTTGAGGAAAAGGGGGGAGGTGAAGTTTAATTTAATTTCAATTCAATTTAGTTTAATTAAATTTTAATTTATTTTTTATTTTAATTCAATGCTTTTTTTGCTTTTCGTTTTTACCCTTTTTGCTTCCTCGAGGCCCCACAGGAACGGCTGGGGAAGCAGCTGGCTGCAGTGCTGCTGCTGCTGTAGTGCTGCTGCTGCTGCAGTGCTGCTGCTGCAGTGCTGCTGTTGCTGCTGTGCTGGTGCCTCTGCCCTTGCCTCGTTTGTGCGTTGCTTTGTTTGTTTTATCTCCACTGTCAACTGATTAGTTAAACTAATTAATTAATTCAATTATCATTTATCTATTTATTTATTTATATATTATTTATGTACTTACTTATTTATTTATTTGTAATTGGGTTGCTGCATGCACTTGTACTCTTCGTGTCTGCTGCTGTTGTTGAAGACTTTTTATCAAACAAAAGAATTAAATGAACAATTGATTTAATTAATTGAAATTAATTTAATCGTTTTTAATTCTAAAACAATAAAATTAAATTTAATTAAATTAACTTGAAGATTTGAAATTCAAAAATGAGTTTACTCGCCATTTCAGGTGTCTAGACAGTCCGCAATTGCTTCTTTGCCGTTTTTTCCCCCCTCAATATGGAATAAATTAATTAAATTGATTAAATGTAATTAATTTAATTTAACTTAATTAATTTAATTTAATTTAATTAATTTAATGAATTCAATTGGTTTGATTTAATTGTTTGCTGCAGACGCGCCAAGAGCTCTTGGCCCTGCGCTGTTTGCGTATTTTGCTGCGAAGGCTTTGACTCCTTTGCAGGTGAAAAAAGAATTTGAATTTCTTTTTTATTTTTTAATCTTTTTTTATTTTTTAAATTCATTTTTTTCTTTTTTCCCCCTTTTTTCGTCTCTTTTCTCCTCCCAATCTCCACGAACTCCTGCTCAATAAACTCTTTACTCCTTTTTTTCCAAACCTTTTTTTCTTTCTACTTTTCATTTTTTGCATTTTTCCCTCTCGGACACTTTTGCTGATTTGCTCTTCTTACTTCGTACTTTTATTTTTTATCTTTATTAGTTTATTATTATTATTAATTTATTATTTATTTGTTTATTTTTATCTTTTATTTATTTATTTACTTACTTGTTTGTTTTTATTTGCTGCTGCAGCTTGCTGCTGCTGTGTGGCTGACGCCGCCTCTGGCCCGAGCCTTTGGGGGCCGCATAGACTTTGTGGGGGGCCGCGCAGAAGCAGCAGCAGCAGCAGCAGCAGCAGCAGCAGCAGCAAGAGCAGCAGCAGCAGCAAGACGCTCTTGGCGAGCAGCCAAGGCCAAAAGAGACTCCTGGAGACGCAGCAAATAATTTGGCGCTTTTCATCTTTCTTTTATCCCCTCACCAATCCACTGTTTATTATTTTTAATTATTATTTATTTATTTGTTTATTTGTCTGTTTATTTATTTATTTATTTTTTTAATTTAGTTGTCAATTTCGTTAGTTGCTTGTTCTTTCGGACCGCAGATGGAGGCATTAGAAACAGCAGCAGCAACAGTAGCAGCAGCAACAGCAGCAGCAGCAGCAGCAGCAGGCATCCAAAGGCCTCTGTGTCTTTGCAGCCCTTATTTTGCAGTTTGCTGCAGACTGAGGGCATTTCAGTGGCTTACGATTGGGGTTTAGAGTTTAGGGTTTAGGGTTTAGGGTTTAGGCACTTGAGGCAGTTTTTGGCTTCCCTCAGAAGTCAAGCTTCTCAAACTAAAGTCAAATGCTTTGCAGCAGCTGCTGCTGCAGCAGCAAAACACTTCCCAGACTAAATTCAAATGTTTCGCTGCTGCTGCTGCAGCAGCAGCAGCAGCAACAGTGTGAAGCAGCGTTCATGTGTTGCTGCCGGCGCGGTAGCAGCAGCAACCGCATCCGGCCCAGAGAACAGCATAAGCAGCAGCAGCAGCAGCAGCAGCAGCTGCTGCTGCTGCTGCTGCGGCTTCTTCTCAGTGTGTCTGTGGGCTTGATGCATGCAGCCCGCGCGCTTTGCAGCTTGGTGACACAAAGACCTGTTGCTGCTGGTGCACTACTGCTGCTGCAGCAGCAGCAGCTGCTTCTGCTGCTGTCCTGCTGCAGCTGCTTCTGCTGCTCTCCTGCTGCTGCTGCTGCAGCCCAGCTTCTGCTGCAGCAGCAGCTGCTTCTGCTGCTGTCCTGCTGCTGCCTCAGTAGGTGCTTCTGCTGCTCCCCTGCTGCTGCTGCTGCTGCTGCTTAGATGTGAACTGCTTGAAGGCCCAGGGCTGTTTGTGCCTCTCTCCAGAAGTCAATAAAAGTCTTCGCCACGCACTGCCACTGCAGCAAACAAAACAAATAAATAAATAAATAAATAATAAATAATAAATAATAAATAGTAAATGAATAAATAAAAATAACAGAATGAAAAGTGCAAATGCTTAAATGCGAATGGGCCAAAAAAGGAAGACAGGAGAGCAGCAGCTGACACCAGGGCGCAGCTTTAAGCGACAGCAGCAGCAGCAAGAGTAGCAGCAGCAGCAGCAGCAGCAGCAGCAGCAGCCACCTCTAAAACATATATGTCGGGTCTCCTGACAGCAAGAACAGCCCAGGACATCGCCAAGCGGTGGTCCCCATAGCTCTTTAAGCAAAGCTTTCTTCTGCTGCTGCTGCTGCTGCTGGTCATATCGCTGCTGCTGCTGCTGCTGCTGACGGCGCTGCAGGTGCTCATACAGCTAATGCCATTGCTGGCGTTGCTGCTGCTGGTTGTGCTGCTGCTACCACTTGCCGTTTCACCTCGCTGCTGCTGCTGCCTCTGCTGCTGCTGCTGCTGCTGCAGCAGCTGGGGCGGGGGCATAGCTATGGCTAAGTAGTCGTCTGCTGCCCAGGCGGGGTAGTTGGCCTGCTGCAGCTCAGCAGCAACAGCTTCTAATCTGCTGCACTCTTTATACTTCACTCCTGAGAGTCCGTGCATGCAGAGGTAGCGCCAGTCTGCTGCTGCTGCTGCAGTCCAGCAGCAGCTGAAGGCAGCATCCTCCTCCTCAAGACTCTGGCTGCTGCTGCTGCTGCTGCTGTTGCTGGCTGCTTGCTGCTTGACCGACGCGAGCTCCTGCTCCAGAAGCAGCTGCAGCCGCTGCTTCTCAGCGTCGCTGCACTGCAGCACGGGGGGACCAGCAGCAGCAGCAGCAGCAGCAGCACTGCAGCAGCAGCTGAGGGTGGACACAGCAGCAGCAACAGCAGCAAGAGTTGGCACGCAGTCGCTCATGCCCCTCATATCAATCAGCACGTTTCCTTCTAGGGTTTGGGGGCCCCCTGAGGCCCCACAAAATGTCACCTGCTGCTGCTGCTGCTGCTGCTGCTGTTGCTGCTGCTGCTGCTGCTGGTCTACTCGCCCTAGCTTCAGGGCCGACAGCAGCAAGGGGAAAAAGCGATCTCCCTGAAGTGAGGAGTCTCTGGAAGCAAAGCAGCAGCAGCAGCAGCAGCAGCAGATAAAGTTCGTTGCATGCAAAACAGAAGCAGCAGCAAAAGGAGGCAGCAAGGGTGAGGGGACAGCAGCAGCAAAAGGAGAGAGAGCCACAAAGAGACAAGAGAAGAAAAGAGAAATAAAAAGCAAAAGACCCAGTGCCGCAGCAGCAGCAGCAGCAGCAGCAGCAGCAACACCATCAGCAGCAAGGGCAGAACCATCAGCTGCTGCAGCAGCAGCAACAGCACCAACATCAGCAGCAGCAGCACTGTGAGCAGCACAATCAACAGCAGCGTCATCAACATCAGCAGCGGCAGCAAAAGTAGCAGCAGCAGCAGCAGCAGCTCGGCCGTCTCACAGAGACACATTGACGGAAATCTTGCCGCCAGTGGCAGCAGCAAAACCGAAGAAGTAAGAAGCTGTTGAAGCATCACCTTCCACTTCAAAGTGCCTGCAGACAGGCTCTGCTGCTGCTGCTGCTGCTGCTGCTGCTGCTGCGGGTGCTTGTGCTGCCGCTGCTGCTGCTGCTTCCGGCTTGTGTGCTGTTGCTGCTGCTGCTGTGGGTATTTGCGCTGCTGCCACTGCTGTTTCAGTTGTTGGTTCTGATTCTGCTGCTGCTGCTGCGGCTGCTGTTGCAGCAGCAGCAGCTGCTGCTGCTGCTGCTGCAGCTGGTGCTGCTTACCGGTTGCATGGAAGCAGCAAGAGGTTCATCTGGTTTCCTTTTTCTTTCTTTTATCTCGCAGGTAAAAGTTTGGCGGCTCCTGCCTGCACACAAACCCTAAACCCTAAACCCTAAACCCTAAACCCTAAACCCTAAAGGACAGACAGGAAGCCTGAGACTAGATGCTGCCCCTTAGCTTGAGTCCTTATGTGACCTGTTGCTGCTGCAGCTGCCGCTGCAACTGGCTTCGTTTGTGCAGCAGCAGTAGCTGCAGCAGCAGCAGCAGTTTCAGCAGCAGCAGCAGCTGCTGCTGCTGCAGCAGCTGTGTACACGGAAGGCTAAAAAGGGGAAAATGTCATTTTTGATTAATTTTGAAGATCTTTTTTTGGTTTAAATGCGATAAAAGCTTTTAAATGTATTAAATAGATTAAATTATAAATGAATTTATTAATTTAAAAGAATTAAAAATAATAATTACCTTCTTTTATTTCCAAAGACACAAAGTCGAGCTGCTGCAGCGCCACAGCCATAGCCACGGTGTCGCTGCAGCACGGCAGCTGGCTCAGCACCACTCGCCTGCTGCTGCTGCTGCTGCTGCTGCTGCTGTTTCTGCTGCTGTTCAAGGCGACGGACAGAGCAGCAAGCAGCAAAGCCCTGTTGGCAACAGATTTGGAGCCTGACAAAGCAGCAGCAACAGCAACAGCAGCAGCAGCAGCACATCAGCAACAGCGGCAGCAACAGCAGCAGCAAAACAAGAATATCGAGAACAGTCGCAGCACCAGCAGCACGTGCAACAGCACAGAGCTGCAGCAAAGAGAAGAAACAGCAAAAGGAAATAGCAGCAGGATGTCAGGTGCAGCAGCAGCACAAGCAGCAGCAGCAGCAGCAAACCCTCAGCAGCAGCGCCAGCAGCAGCAGCAGCAGCAAATCCAAGCCTACCTGGCACTGTGGCAGCACCGCAGAGCGGCCGAACGCCGCAGGCCCTTTTGCTTCCTGCTGCTGCTGTTGCTGCTGCAGCACTGCCGCTGCAGCCGCAGCAGCAGGGCCCCACAAGTTTAATGGCAGGAGAAAAAAGCTGCTGCAGCAGCAGCAAAGACACAGGCCTCACAACTGAAGCAATGCAGCGCCCCGGGGCCTGCAGCATTACCATTTGGATTTTGCCATTTTTGTTTTTTTTGTCTTGCTGCATGCGCTGCAGCAGCAGCAGCAGCTGCTGCTGCTGCTCCTGTTGCTGCTGCGGTTGCTGCTGCAGCAGCTGCTGCTGCATTGGCTGCTGCTGCGGGTGCTCAATCTGCTGCAGCTCGTCCTGTCGGTGCTGCAGCCCCTGCTGCTGCTGCTGCAGCTGCTGCTGCTGCAGCTGCTGCTGCTGCAGCTGCTGCTGCTGCAGCTGCTGCTGCTGCAGCTGCTGCTGCTGCTGCTGCTGCTGCTGGAGCTGCGGCGGCAGCCCTAGTGGCAAGCCAAAACGGCGGCAGCAAAATTGAATTAAAAAAAAAGAAAGAGAAGACCCCACACCGAGGTGTATAGACACTGCAGCCTCCAGCAAACAGCCAGCAGCAACGCACTCGCCGTGGTTCCTGATGAAGCAAACCCTAAACCCTAGACCCTAAACCCTAAACCCTAAACCCTAAACCCTAAACCCTCAACCTTGAATATATATATATATATGCAGCCCCAAAGCTGGACCCAAGCGACAGAAAACCCCCAGCACCACCTTGCATGGAATCCGCTAAATCCTAAACCCTAAACCCTAAACCCTAAACCCTAAACCCTCACCAGTTGACCCCAGGCGCAGTCTCAATGGCGTGACCTATGGTGTGGCCCAGGTTAAGAACAGCGCGGGTTTTTGCTTCTTTGAAATCAGCAGCACAAACAGCAGCTTTTAAAGCAACTGCAGCAGCAACAATCTGCAGCAAAGAGGCCAGATTCATCTCCTGCTGCTGCTGCTGCTGCTGCTGCTGCTGCGATCGCTGGCACAGCTGCAGCTCTTGCGGCTGCCCCTGCTCCAGCTCCTCCCGCTGTTGCTGCTGCTGCTGCTTCACCTGGTGCTGCTGCAGCTGCAGCAGCAGCAGCTGCTGCTGCTGCTGCTGCTGCAGCTGCAGCTGCTGCTGCAGGCCTAAGGCCATGGGGTCTGTGGTAAGGAGGCGCTTCAGCAGAGACGGGCTTAGAGCAGCAGCTGAGAACAGAACACCTAAACCCTAAACCCTAAACCCTAAACCCTAAACCCTAAACCCTAAACCCTAAACCCTAAACCCTAAACCCCAAACCCTAAATGATGGTTTTCAGTGCGCAAAGACCCTCCCAAAAGACTGTCTGCCTGCCTGCAGCTGGCGACTGCGGCCAGAACCTCGAGGGTTTAGGGTTTAGGGTTTGGGGTTTAGGGTTTGGGACCTATTTTGACGATTTCTGCAAAGCCTCCTCTGGCGTCTCTAGGGTTTAGGGTTTTCAAAAACCCTAAATCTATAATGCATGCAGCAGCAGCAAAAAAAGTCCCAATCATGTTTTTAAGGCCGCCCGCATTCACTCCAGTTTTGCCTGCACACAAACCCTAAACCCTAAACCCTATACACTAAACCCTAACCCTAAACCCTAAACCCTAGAGCGGCGAACTGCAGGTGCATAACATGTACACTGTAAACCCTAAACCCTAAACCTGGAAGCGGCGGCCAGCAGGCGCATAAAATGTACACCCTAAACCCTAAACCCTAAACCCTAAACCCTAAACCCTGAACCCTCAATTAATTAATTAATTAATTACCACCAACTGCAGCATCAGCAGCAGCAAGCAGCGTCGTGGGCAGCAGCAGCAGCCGCAGGCCCCGCAGCAGCAGCGAGCAGCAAAAGCCAACAAGATCTGTTGCTGCTCCTCCTCCTGCAGCAACAAGAACAGCAGATCGGTCCAGCAGCAGCAGCTGCTGCTGCTGTTGCGCTGCTGCTGCTGCTGCTGGGGAATTAATTAATTAATTAATTACCACCAACTGCAGCATCAGCAGCAGCAAGCAGCGTCGTGGGCAGCAGCAGCAGCCGCAGGCCCCGCAGCAGCAGCGAGCAGCAAAAGCCAACAAGATCTGTTGCTGCTCCTCCTCCTGCAGCAACAAGAACAGCAGATCGGTCCAGCAGCAGCAGCTGCTGCTGCTGTTGCGCTGCTGCTGCTGCTGCTGGCCCTCCTTCAAACACGCGCGACACGCGGCAGCAGCTGCTGCTGCTGCCAGCGCTGCTGCTGCCGCTGCTTTCGTCGCCCTCACTGCTGCTGCTGCTGCTGTGAAACATGCCGTTGCAGCCTCCCTGCTGCTGCTGCTGCTGTTGTTGCTGCTGCTGCTGCTGCTGCTGGGAAAGCTGCAGCAGCAGCTCACAGATGTAAACTGCCGACTGCGGTGTCTTCGCAGCTTCCCCTCCAGACAGAGAAAAGAAGGCGCAAGGCGTTCTCTGCTGCTGCTGCTGCTGCTGCTGCTGCTGGCCGTCACTTGCTGCTGGCAGCACCGGATAATCGAAGCAGCAAAGGCAGCAGTCGCTGCAGTGGCCTTCGCACCTGCTGCTGCTGCTGCCGCAGCTCGCGCATACCTCACAACTGTTGCTGCTGCTGCTGCAGCTGCTGCTGCTGCAGCTGCTGCTGCTGCTGCTGCTGCACAATTGCCTTGCCAGCTGCTTAATACGTTTGCGATGCTGAGGGAACTTCAGAACTTCCGAGTCAACGAAAAACCAGTACGAAGACGCACCCTGCATGCAAACCCTAAACCCTAAACCCTAAACCCTAAACCGTAAACCCTAAACCCTAGTCTTGCCATTCTGCAAAACGATGGGCCAAAGGCCCGAATATCTGTGCTGGGTGTTTAGAGTTTAAAATTTTGTGTTTGCTGCCTAGGGTTTAGGGTTTGGTGTTTTCGCCAAGGGCTTATATCTAGGGTTTAGGGTTTAGGGTTTAGGGTTTGGGGTTTAGAGCCTCAGTTTACCGGGAGCTGCCTCTTGACTTCTTCGCCGATTGTGCCGCAAATATCTGTGCCTATAAACACAGGATAGCTACTGCTGCTGCTGCTGCTGCTGCTGCTTGTGCTGCTGCTGCTGCTGCTTGCTGGGTCTCTGTGTATAAATTCGACCCCCACTGTTTGTTGCTGCAGCTGCTGTTGTTTTGCTGCATCTGCTGCTGCTTCTGCTGCTGCTGCTGCTGCTGCTTTTGCTGCTGCGGCTGCAGCTTCGGGACTGCCGCCAGCAGCAACGACTGCCTCTGATGCAGCAGCAGCAGCAGCAGAGGCTGCCTTGTCCGCAGCAGCAGCAGCAGCAGCTGCTGCTGCTGCAGTAGCAGCAGCAGCAACAGGCACGTCAATCCTAAAGTAAGAACCGTTGGAGACACATGGCTCCGCAGAGAGCACGCGCTGGGCGTAGATCTCTGGGTCCATTGGGGATTAGGGTTTAGGGTTTAGGGTTTAGGGTTTAGGGTTTAGGGTTTAGGGTTTGGGGTTTAGCCTTAGGTCCTCGAGCGCAAGATTTCCTACTATAAATGAATCGCAGAAGTTTGGGACTGAGGCTAAGAAGTACTTGCACTGGCTTTAAGCGCAGGCTAGGGTTTAGGGTTTAAGGTTTAGGGTTTAGGGTTTAGGGTTTAGGGTTTATGGGGGGCCCGGGGCCCCTCGGCCAAGATGGTCTTGGGGCCTTCGCCACCAGGAGCATAAGTGTTTAAAATAAAATCAAATGGAATAATTTTAATTTAAATTAGAAATGAAAAGTTAAAGAAGAGTTTTAAAGTAAATAAAAAAGATAATAGAAGGTACATTTGCTGCTGCTGCTGCAGCAGCAGCAGCAGAAAAAAGAGCAGCAGCAGCAGCGAGCTGCTGCTGTCCAGTTTGTCTGCATGCAAACAAAATAAAACAAAAATAAATGTAATTATAGTTTTTAATTTATGTTTAAATTTAAATTTAAATATAATATGAACATATAAAAGCATACATGCAAAAATTAATAAATTCTCAATACCCTGTGGGCCCCCAAAGTTAGTCCTAGGGGGCCCCCAAAGGTACCCTTGGGGGCCCCTAAAGGTACCCTTGGGGGCCCCTAAAGGTACCATTGGGGGCCCCTAAAGGTACCCAAAGGGGTCCCCAAAGGGCAGCCTAAGGGCCCCTAAAAGGCAGCTTTGGGGGGCCCCTGAAGGCGCTTAGGGGGCCCCAAAAGCTCTAATCTCTTGGGGGCCCTTGAGAGTGCCCTGGGGGGCCCCTAAAGGTACCCTAGAGGGCCCGTAAAAGGGCCCTTGGGGCCCCCAATAGACCAAAGGGTACTTGGGGGCCCCCAAGAGACCAAAAGGTACACTTGGCGGCCCCAAGAAGGTCCTTTAAAGGTACTCTGAAGGCACTCTTGGGGGCCCCTAAAGGCACCATTTGGGGCCCCCTTGGGGCCCCCCAAAAGGGCCCTTGGGGTTCCCTTGGGGGCCCCTAAAAGGACCGTTGGGGCCCCCTTGGGGGCCCCCAAAGATATATTTTCTTGGGGGCCCCCATGGGGGCCCTTTGAAGGCTTTTGGGAGCCCCTGAAGGCACTCTTGGGGGCCCCTCAGGGGCCCCTAAAGGTACCCTTGGGGGGCCCCAGAATAATGTTGGCTTCCTGCTGTTGCAGGTGATTATTTATTTATTTATTTATTTATTTATTTGTTTGTTTGTTTGTTTGTTTGTTTGTTTATTCATTTATAATTAGCTGCCCACATCAACGTGTCAGTAACATAATCAGTCAAATAATTAGAATATCAAATGATACACCGATAATATTAAAAAGATAATTAATTAATTAATTTACTAATTGATTAATTTAATTGAACAATTACTTAGTTAATCAGTTGGTTAAGTGCCAAATTAATTAATTAATTCATTAATTAATCAATTAATCAATCAATTAATTAATTAATTAATTAATTGATTAATATTACTTTTGTGTGTTTCTTTGTCTCCAAGCCAAAAAGGCCAATTTAAAACCCAGCAGCAAAAACGACAAAAATATTAAAAGAAAACTTTTACTTTCTTTCTCTACCTTCTGTGGGGCCCCACAGGGGGCCCCTATGGGGCCCCCAAGGGGGGCCCCCTGTGCGGCCCCACAGGAGGCCCCCAGAGGGGGCCCCTACGGGTCCTTCCCTGTGGGGCCCCACAGCGGGTTGAGAGCCCCATAGGGGGCCCCTTGTGGGGGCCCCTAGGGGGCCCCTCCTGTGGGGCCCCTGTGCAATGGGGGGCCCCACAGGGGGCCCCCTAGGGGGCCCCAAGGGGGCCCCCGCTGTGGGGCCGCTGTCTAGTGGGGGCCCCACCGGGGGCCCCTGTGCAATAGGGGGCCCCACAGGGGCCCCTCAAGGGGCCCCCCAGGGGGCCCCTGTGTAATAGAGGGCCCCACAGGGGGCCCCTCAAAGGGCCCTCCTTCTTGCCCTCTACAGAGGGGCTCCAAAGAGTTTATCTATTTATTTATTTATTTATTTATTTATTTCCAACAAGAGTCGTTGGCCTGAACATACGGTGTCTGCGGAGACACCTGAAATCTCAGAGTTAGGCCAGAGAAAAAAATTTAATTAAAAGCAAAATGCTCATTATAAACCCTAAACCCTAAACCCTAAACCCTA